GTCACCAATTATTTAAAATTGGAATTACTTCTACTAGAAGAGGATGTCACACTGAGCATCCTAACTCTCCTTGCTAACGTTTTATTCAGTGCTTACTCTGTGGGAGACATCATTCTGTGATCTACATATAGAGCTCCACCTGTCTGATGTTTATATGATATCTCACACCAGTTATAGCCCCAACACTAGGGTTTTAGATGAACAACTTATAGATGGCAGAAAATAGCCTTTGGAGAGTGTCCACTCCTCACAATGTGGAACCAGAAACTTCATAAAGACATATTCAAAGCATACAAGTCCTGCTTGAGATGATGAGAGACAGGGTAGAGATGTGCTTGTTTTTGTATTCAGTATCTGACACATGGGAAATCTCCCGAGCCTGCTCTCTCCTCGCCATGCCCCACCAGTGTGTGCAGCTCTGTGTCAACTCAGCTTCTGTAAGGAGAAAACTGGCTGAACTGCTTCCCCTTTGGGAATGAAGACTGGAGCATGATGACAGAATTTCATCTGCTATTTGAAAACTTATTTTCAGTATTTCCGTTTGAACGATTTGCAGGACTTATATCCATCCTTCTGAGCTCTGTACCTGTCCTTTGCACATATTTGCAGTAGAATTCTCTTTTCAGAGAAAAAAATCATCTCCATTGAAAGCAGAGAGAAAAGAGGCCAGAACTGGGTCCCAAGATTAGATTAAACCCCAGGGAGATGTTTGTTGGGCTTCAGGCTTTAGAAAGGTGGAGGGAGGTGGCACCCAGGGCCTACTGCGGGGGATGATTTTAGATTGTCTGCTCAGCTTAATTCTCACAGAAATCATTATGTGGTGAAAATATTATGCTTATTTTACAGGAAAGGAAACTAGGGCTCAAATCGGTAAGTCCCTGCCCTCATTGCCCATTTTTCCTCTTCACCTCCCCATGGGAGATACTGGCTTGTTGGTGCAGGTGAGATGAGCAAACAACTTCACAGGAAGCTCCCTTTCCTTGCGGGTTTAATCGCCAGAGAAGGAGTCTCCAAGGATTGGTCAAAATAGAAGAAACTCTCCTTAGTCATGGGCTACAAGGTTTTCCATTGTGAAGATGCATCTTAGTGTATTTCATGACCACTTGTTGATATAACTTAAGCAGTGCCCAACCTGCCAAATTAATTTAAGCTCTATATATTAAATATCTTTCTGTGTGTTCTCCTCATTCTCATTATATGTTTTGCTTTGTACAACTTTCATCTGCTATTTGAAAACTTATTTTCAGAATTTCCATTTGAACTATTTACAGGACTTGTATCCATCCTTCTGAGCTCTGTACCTGCCCTTTGCACATATTTTGTCCCAAATTCTCCTCTTCCAGGGAGTATTCCTGTTTAAACTCATGCCCACTCAGATTTCTCTAGGATTTTGTACCCCTCAACCTATAAGTATCTTGAGTGTTTCAACCAGAATCATTTATCTACAACCACTGAACCTCTAGACTGGAAGAAAATTTAAAAATTTAGAGCAAACTTAATCTAGTCCCCTTCCATGATGCAGGATTTTGAACCACAATCGCCCAAGGAAAAGTTTTTACCAGACTTTGCCTTATCCTGTCCCATGATGGGGGAACTCCTATTTCATTTTAACTGCATTTCATTTGCATAGACTTGCTGCCCTTAATCCATTTCCTGTACAAGGACCAGGTATTCCGTTGAAAAATATCTACTGAACACCTGCTAGCACCCAGAACTATG